GTACCTGATGTAATAACCCTTGTGCCAGTTTTATTTGCAATTGACTAAAGGTTCTAAAGCTGTTGTGGGACAATGTAAAGCTGCTGATATTTTTGTCCAGTAACAACCAAGAAGCATTTATTTCTTTTTGCTCTTTTTGTATAAAACAATATCAATATTCATTCTTTCTCACTTTTTCAGACCTGAGGTGTATGATTCCAATTCTGCATTATAATTGAAGACTTAAAGTCTGGTTTAGAGCTGCAAATCATTCTAGAGGCAGTTTTCTTTACAAGATAATAATGTGAAACATATAACTGGTTTTCCCTCAGTGATCATTCCTTTCAACTGTGGACATTTTTGAGCTTACAAAGCATTCTGAATAGGTCTTTTTAAAATGAATGGTTTTGCAGGTTGGTTTTTTCTTTCATAATAGGGCATTTGGTTTTGCCACTGTTTTGATCATACTTCCAGGTTTTACTCTGAACTTCCTTTTACTGATAGCATTCATACAAAATCTTTTCTTGTGTGTATGACCACTTGGTCTAGGTCTTTCACATGATTACAAGTAAACCATACATTAGATGTTGTTGCATTAGATATCCAGTGGTGCATGTATTCTTTCTGAATGGGAAACTGAATCAACTACTTTCCTGTAGTCCAGTAGCAGTGACTTCTCACAAGCTCCAATATCCATATTTTATATCTTCACGCCCCTTCTCAACCACTGCTGTATTAGACTCCTTGTTACTTAACATGCTTTGTAGGCTTCTCAAGAAGTTGATTCACTGTTCCTCTCTTTTCTTTTGTTAATATCCTTCAGATGGTCCACTATAGCAGGGGTTGCTGTCAAAACTGTATTAGCAGTTCCCAATCAACTTGGGAAGATGAAATCCATTCCTTAGACCTTTCCTTCATTTCTTAGGAGTAATAGTTTTGCTTTCAAGCTTTTTCTGTTATTATTTGACAATCTTTCACTGTCCTTGATGTTTACATGTCCTTTCTCCATTTTGTTCATACTATAATCCTGTAAGAAAACCATTCTGGTTTATGATTGTAAAGTTTTCATACACTAAAGCCCTGACTCTAGTAATATATATAGGCACCACTTAATTGCAAACCAAAAAAATAATGACTTTTTAAATTATTATGCAGGGGATTCTTGCATAAGGAAGTTGCTCTGGTTTTAGCATTGCAGTACTGAATAATGCCATATGCCTACACAGGTCTTTCAAAAGACGCACAAAGCTGTAGAAAAGATGTTTCTTTCACTAAGAAAATTATTCCTAACTAGATCTTGTTTGTACATTAGAATAATTTTGATCTTTCTAGTTGCAATTATTTCTGAGACACCTCTGTCCATGCATCTTACCATGATTACAAACCTGTCTCAGAACCAACTGTTACCTGTGAGTCCTCAGCAGTTTTGCCTCTAGCTCTCTTAGTTACTCAATTGCCATATGAAAGACATTTGTCATGCAGACAGCTCCTCTGGACACAAGGTATATTTTCTTTCCAAACTGTTCTCATCAAAACCAATTAGCAATAGCTTTCTGATCCCTGTATTTTGTTTTTGTGCTAGATTTTAATTATGTTTTTGACATTACATAGGATCGTAGAGTCATTTAGGTTGGAAAAGACCTTTAAGATCATCATGTTCAAGCCCTGACTCAGCACTGCCAAGCCCATGTGGCAGCGTTGGAAGGGACTTTCACAATGTATTAGTGTTTCCTGATTTCTACTGAAGTCATCAGTCATGTAATTAGTGAGATGACTTTCCTCACTTTCTCTGACAAATTATTTTCCAATTTTTTTCCAAAAAAATGGTATTATGAAGCTTCCTACATTCTAAGATTACTTAGCTGTAATCAATTCTGTTATCCTTTGCCATTCTGTTCTGGTGTGGGTTTTCTGTAAGTGTAGAGACAGTCTGAGTTAAACAGTTTTACTGATAGTTGTAATACTCTAGTATTTAACGTTACCTTAAGAAGCTTTCCTACAGCATGGAGCTGAAAGTAATGGTCCCAAGCTGTTCCTGTCTGTGGGTGTTAGTGCAGCCAGACTTATGCTTCTGGCTTATCAGTACCTCCTAGTTGCCTCTGTAGTAAATTTCAGTACACACCGAAGTTTTCTGTGGCCCTGTCAAGTGGAGAAAATTAAATTGGAGCAGTAAGTTCTAACGTAAGAAAAACACAGTTACTGACATTCATGGTTGTACAAGAGCTTGCGATTGGACACAGTGCAGTGCGTTTTTGGCACAGCAGCTCGGAATTTACAAGCATTCTTGCCACATAATATCCTGGAAAGTGCAATACAAAGGCTAGGGTAGAATGACAGGACAAGTGTTTGTCCAGAACTGATAAATCCTGGCTAAATCCTTCTGCTCTGTATTTTTAATGCAACCCACAGTACCTGTGTTATTAAGGACTTACTATTTGCAGAGTTCAGTAACTCCCATAGAGAGAGATACTCTTTGGGAGTAACGAGAGACACAGCAATCCAAACCATAAGTATAAGCCATAAATGTAATAAGCCATAAATGTAATCTTCTCTGAAACATCTAGAGATTCCCATATCTACGTAACCACAATATTAACAATTGTCATTAACTTTTGGTAGCAGTGTCATACAGTAGTGGTCTTTCATGGCCTGTGAGTGTCAAAAGTGGCCTCTGTAATGCATAGTGTGTTGGATTGACCCTGGCTGGATTCCAGGCACCCACCAAAGCTTCTCTATCACTTCCCACCACAGCTGCACAGGGGAGGCAAGGATTAGGAGTTTAGAGTAAGGGGGATGAGAGAAGAGTTTTAACACTCAGCAGTGTCTTGATATGCTCCTGTCTTGGTTTTTCATGGTAGATCTCATGGTTATTGGAGTATATTGGGTTCTGTGAGCTGTGAAAGAGAAAACCAAAAACAGAAACAAATAAGATGGATAGAAGAGGCAGAGCATAAGACCTATGAGGATTGTTCTGTTCTACCTCATGTCATTGCTGGGGTCAGGGGAAGGGAGTCTCTTCCAAAGAGAAGGGCTTCCTTCCGGTTGAGTAAGCATGGTGCAGATTCTGAGCTGGAGGGAGCAGTTGGAAAACATCAGTTCCAAGCTGGAGGGGGCAGTCAGGTGGCACTGGTTCTGAGCCAGAGGGAGCAGTGGGGTATTTATGTCAGGAGTTTCCACAGTGAGCAATAACCATGTTTTTTCTTGCACTCTCTGTCTTTATTACTGTTGTTGTTATTGTTCATATTCTTATCTCATTGCCATTCCCAGTAAATTTTTCTTATCTCAATCTGCAATCTTCACTTTTGTGCCTCCAGTTTTCCTCTCCAGCCCTCCACAGAGGGGAGGGTGAGTGAGTTGAGTGGGCATGGTTTGGAGAGTCTCAGTGGGAGCACTAAATTGAAGAGTACCATTCCTAAATCATGACAGCCAAAAACCCAGGGTGCCATTAAAACCAGATCTGCAGATTACTTGGAAAGGTTCAGTCATCTTACAGGAGCAAAGTCAGAGCATGGCAATGCACACAAGTTGTCACATTCATATGGGATGAGCACCATTTGGGAAGTCCAACTATGTCTTCCTGCAAATACAGCATTGCAAGGAAATTTGGAGCACATGTGCTGACAAAAGCAAGCAGTTGCCAAAGATGATAGGAGTTCCTAGACTTTCTACTCTAAGGTTTATATTGTGCTTTGTAGTAATAAAGTTGTGGCTTGTTTTGAACTCATTCTTGCTGGAACATGGTCTTCACAAATTACTTTTCAAAGGCAGAACAATCCACAGTTTATTTTTAGAGATTTTTATTTTGTTTTGCCTTTCTTGGCAAAGTATGGATATCTTCACACCTGAAGGATGTGATGCCATCCAGAGGAGCATGGACAAGCTCAAAAAGTGGGTGTGCAGGAATCTCATGAAGGTTTAATAAGACAAGTGAAATGTGCACTGGTTGGAGCAAGACATGATATCAATACAAGTTGGGGCATGAAGGAATCAAGAGTAGCCTGGCCCAGAAGGACTTGGGGGTGCTGATGGCTGAGAGGCTGGACATGACCCAGCCAGGGGCACTCCCAGCCCAGAGAGCCACACGTGTCCTGGGCTGCATCCAGAGCAATGTGGGCAGCAGGGCCAGGGAGGGGATTCTGCCCCTCTGCTCTGCTGAGACCCCACCTGCAGGGCTGCAGCAGCTCTGGGGCCCAGCACAGGAAGGACATGGACCTGCTGGAGCAGGTTCCAACAAGGGCCAGAAAAATAGAGGAATGGAGTACCTCTCCTATGAGGAAAGACTGAGTATTTGGTTTGTTCAAAGTTTGTTTTTGTTTATTATTTGGTTGGAAAAGAGAAGGCTTGAGGGTGATGTAATTGTGGCCATTCAGTACCTAAAGGAGCCTACAAGAAAGATGGGGGGAAACTATTTACAAGTGCATGTAGTGATAGAACAAGAAGACATGACTTCAGTCTGCAACAGGGTAAGTTTAGATTTGATATTAGGTAACTATTTTTTATTGTGAGGGTGGTGAGGCACCTTCCAGTTTGACCAGAGAACTTACGGATGCACCATTATTGGAAATGTTCAAGGCCAGGTTGGATGGAGCTCTGATCAGCCTGGTCTAGAGAAAGATGTCCTGCACATGGCAGGAGGGTCGGAACTAGGTGATCTTTAAGGTCTTGTTCAAGCCACAGCATCCTATGTTTCTACATTCTCGTAATGCAGATACATATAAACTGTAAAAATTCATTTTAAAAGAAGAAATCTGATCATAATACAGTTTTACTCAGCCTTTTTGGTTTTGTTGCTTCCTTCTTTTACTGTGTTGTGATTTTTCATCTTTCCCACAGAGGACTTTTTCTGGCATTTCTGTTTTATGTTTCATCATCTTTTTAGAAGTAACCTGTATTAAATTTAGGAATATCACCTGTGTGTATTGTCTTCTTAACCATTACTGAAAATGATCTTCCGGACATCTGGTTTATCAAAAGTAGTTATGAACTGATTGTGAAAATATGTTCTCTTTTTCTTCTTGCAGCCTGCAAATGATAACCTGCATACAGATGATGAGCATGAACTCAGAGGAGATAGAGAAAGCTATCTCTGTGCTGTGTGCCTGGATGTTTATTTCAACCCTTACATGTGCTATCCATGCCACCATATCTTTTGTGAACCTTGCTTAAGGATGCTTGCCAAAGACAATCCAGCCAGCACTCCATGTCCACTCTGTCGCACTACAATTGCCAGAGTCTTTTTCCAAACAGGTATAGAAATGAAAGTTTTTACCCATAAAAAATATTTGTACTTTTCCTTCCTGTATGCATTCAGAGCAAATTTTGGTAATGTTAATCCACTGTGAAATGTTCTTTCCATTTAACTCCTCCTAAGAACATTCCATGCAGGTTCTCTTCAATGTCAAGAAGCAATTCAGGACATGTACTTTTATACTTTTTATTTTAGAAATGAGATTCTGATCGTTTTCTTTTCTGATAGAATTCTGGTAGATTTCTTTTGTTTCTTCTTCCTGAATAATAACAAGCTCCAAACATAATAAACATTTCTCACAATATCCTACTGGAAAAGTATTTTTAAAATTGCTCACTTCATGGCACACACAAAAAAATGCTCTTTTCATTTATGACATTAAATTTGGACACAAGTGAAAATAAAGACTGGCAGAACCCTTGATAATCTTCTTAAATTCTCCTGTCCTGGCCTCTTATACCCTCATCTCTAGTGTTCCTTACTCTTAACAGTAGGAAAATATGGTGGGTAGGGGGTGTTTGGTGTCAGATTGGGTATGGAAATAGAAGAGGGTAAGTAGTCCTGCAGATACAATATCTCGAGCAGCATGAGTCATTCTTTTGTGTCCAAAGCTTATATGGTAGATTCAAGTACCATTGATAAAATTACACTATGGTATCTAGAGTTAGGTCACTTACAGCGCTTAAAACTGTGCATAGGCAGTTCACAAAGTAATAGAAATGACTCAGCCATGCAGGAGTGTTTGTTTCATTTTAGATGCTACAGAGATCTTGCAGAGATCCTCTTTAAGCTGTTGTGAGTGCTGTGATGATGACAGGTTAGGGATGCAGACTGAAGTATGGTTTCACATTGATCGGCAGAGCTGCCCACATTCTGTTTCTGGCTGTCCACAGACTCTTTTGTACAGCCCTAACTTTGTATGATTTGATGGCAGATCAGTTTGAAGAGCTGACTGGGATAAAGAACTCATTTGGGTGGGAAGGAGGTATTTTTTTTCAGATGAACCTATTGCCCCAAGATGATTCACTGAGCAGCTGCTGGTTGCCAGGGATAGAGACTGGCTATCCCTGCACTGATGCACTGCAGCAGAGGAAATGGGCAGAAAGCTGCAGCCTGAGCACTCTCAACCCCCTGCCTGTCTGCTGTATAGAGATTTCAAGCTGTTCTCATTTCATTTCCCTAATGTTTGATGCTCCCTTCAATTTGATGTACAGATGAAGTGTGTTTCACTGATAGAGAGTTAGGTTTTTCTAGGGCTATTTAAATTTTAAAAAACCAATTTAGCAAATTTGCTGCAGAAAATTACTACTGGGAGAACACAAAAGGAGAATAAAGATGCTTCCTAAAATGTATTTGCAAAACTTTTCAACATGTTGCAGTTGTCTAAGTGAAATATTACTAGGATTATTTGTAGCCTTTAAGTACCTAACATACAATGTGTAAAAATACCTGGTGGGAGGGAATGAAGAAGAAGGAGCCAGATTCTTCTGAGTGGTGCTCACTGCCAGCACAAGAGGCATTCGGCAGGAATTGAAATACGAGATCTGAACACAAAAAAGAGCTTTTTTTCATGAGGGTGTCAAACAGGCTGGTAAGAGAGGCTGTGGAACACCCACCAAAACCCAGCTGGACATGGTTCTGGGCACCTGTGCAGCTGACCCTACTTGAGCAGGTCAAACTAGCTGTTCTCAAGACATCCCATTCAACCTTACCCAATCTTAAAATATTAAATAGGTATGTAGCTTTTTTGAGGAAAAGTATTTATGTGCCTAAGGAGGAAATATGGCATCATAGATTTATAAATAGAGTCTGCTATAAATAGTGAACCATGGCAGTGTATAATATGTTTTGTATTAACTACCTCAGTGAGAAAAATCTGCAGCTATTTGTAGCTTGCCATTTGGTATATAGTAATATGTGCTTGACTTAGCAATATATTTAAAAATAGGTACAGTAATTTAGCTTTGTTTTATTATATATATTAAGAAAAATATTTTTAAATTTTCCAGTGCATAACATACTGAACAACTTTTAAATTAACTAAGGGGTATTGATGATGATATTGTATCCTTAGAGAAATTAGTAAAATCAGCACATTAAGAAGATGAATGGCACCAGAGCAATGTAAAGCATAGTAATTTTTTTTTCCACCCAGAAGAGTTATTAAGCCTTTATAATCGTACGCTAAAGTCACTGCTGCTATAGGTTTGTGCAGGCAGCAAAGCAAAGTTGCTTGTAGTCTTTACATACTTCTCTAATAATGCAGCTGGGATGCCTTATTTCCCACATTAATTTATTTTGGTTGCTTTCTGAAGCTTTCCTTTTGTATAAGTGCATTTATTTTACAAAGACATGTCAAAAAGAAAAACATTTAAGGATATAATCAAAAGTTGACTTTTTAGCTTGTACAGTTTTGCAGACTGAACATAATTGCAAGAGAAGTATGTATGTAACGTGTCAAAAGAAAAGGTCTAACAGGTCAATAATCTATCAATTACAGATAAAATCAGTGTTTAACTGAGAGCTACAAAGCCATATTTGACTCACAAGGGTAATTCCTCTGGCCAGTTGCCTTGGTCAAATGAGCCTTTTTTACAGGATCCCTTAAGCATGAGTTCCAGTCCAGATAGGTTGCTCTGATGGTGCTTACTATGCGTTCACATCTTCCTTAAAGGCTTTCTTAGAAGCCCTTCTCTCATCAGGATAAAGTCACATCTGATCAAATGACAGACAGTGTGGCCAGGACATACCTAAGAAAACAACTCTTGAGCTGATTCCACCGAGTAACTTTCTAAGTTACCAAGTATCTTTTAAATGCTTCACTTACGGGGACAGAGTGATCTTCTGCACTTCCATTCTTATAAATTTTACTTTTGTTGTTTGCAAGAAGGGCCAGATCTGACACGCATGTGCAATAAATTCATGACTTTGGAGAAATGCAGATTGAGGGCAGTGGTTGTGCAAGGGAGGTCCAGGCACGAGGCAGGGAAAGAGGGACAGGTGACCTGGCCAGCCTGAGGGGATCTTCTGTTGAAAGCCTAGCCTAGCAGGCTTCCAGAAGCCAGTAAGTCTTGTCACCGCTTCCTTTCCTGAAAAACACTAATTAGATGCCTCACCAGAGGTTTCAGTATTTTAAATTTGAATAAAATTGAGAAAACTATGTTGATTTCTGTGGTCTGTAGCAGGAAAATAAAATGTTCTCTGTGCTGTGCTGTGCAAGCAGTCTTATCAGAAGCCTGAATCTCAATAGTACTTAATCCAAATATGTTCAGTAGCATATAAAGCTCTTTTGTAAAAATTTAAAAGACACTAGTGAAAAATACACAGTTTGTTCCTTTTACATTTTGAAGAGAAAAAGGCCCTTTTTCCTTCAGTGACAGCAGTTTGTATGTGCAGTAGCTCTATTTTTGCATAACAAGATAAAGGATTTGAAGATTCTGTCCTCTTCGTGTATTGTGCAGCTTCATTCCACCTGCATTGTGACATGGTGAAATAAAGGATAATTTTTAGAATCAGACTGACATGGGGTTTTTACTTCAAATCTGTTAATGTCTTACACAGAAAAAGCTACTGGAAGCAAAGGAATTTTTTCTTCTTTTTAGAGCCTGCTCACATAAAGCTTATCTTTCTTAAGTTTGCCAGAGAAAAAGATTTTATCCTTTCATAAAATATTTATTATTAGAAAAGTATGTTCCATTACATTGGACCACATGAAGTAATAAAACACAAGCCTTCTCAAAAAAACTGTGAATGTCTTTTCTTACTTTGAAGGTACAGAAAGAATTATGGTACCAGCTACAATTAATATTTATCTGGAGCCATCTTGGTTTGGAGACACAAATTGTACAGGAGTTTGATGAGCAGGGGGTTGATGTTTTTCCTGTTAACTACTAGCTTAGCAACCCTGTTTGTTATCAGTACATCAACTCTGTGCTAGGAAAATATTGTTGTTTTTAGTTTTCCATTGCATTACTATGAATAGATTCGTTTGGCAGTTTTGAGTTGAGTTTGGCAATCATGTAGGTATTTCTCCAAATTATATCCTGAGAAGATGTTGATTTCTTGAGATTAGTGCATAACGCCAACTCCTCCAATGTGTCATGAATCATCCTACAAATGTTTTCTTAAAAACATATAAAATAATTCATTAACAGGATTAACTTCCTGTTAATCCACAGTACTTTTTAAAATCTCTAAAACATTTCAGGCTCTTTCCCTTCCTTTGCATTACTGACTATTACTGAATGGTGATGTTAAATAAAATGCTGAGAATTAATACCACAGTCATTTTTATGGATATAATTTTTATTTATGGAGGTCATCATAGTTTTTTCAGTTAAATAGCTTGATTTCTTAAATACATAATTTTGCCAGATATTATCATCTTGACATAATATTTTCTATTTTTTTTTTCCAAAGAAGCAGAATGTTTATGACTTGCTCTTACTATATATGGAAATGGTTGGGTAAATATGATTTTTAAAAATAGGTTTTATAATCAGAAGAAGAATTACACAGTAGATACGGCATTTTTATTTTGTATAAATTTATGCAAATTATTATGCTAATTATTATTATGCTTTATTTAGAGCATTGTTTCTTTCCCCTTAATTATTCTAGATCTGAATAACTCTACCAGATCTTTTTTCCCTATGGAATATTTGAATCTAAAGGAAAATTTTCAAAAATCCAATTTTGCTAAATGGCCTCTGCCAAGCTGCAAGAAAGCATTCAGAGTTTTTGAAGGTAAGTTTTTTAATTTTTGCCTAAATGTCATTCAATCTCAAGTGTAATATTTGAGAATAAGACTCTGATTAATACATGCCATTGGCAAACAGACAGATGATTCTTAAAGTAGAGATGAGTTTAATTCTCATGGGTGATTCATACACAGGGCTCTGAATCTAAAGACAAACTGCAAAGTGTAAAAAGACAATTGTGTATGTACCTTTTAATTTATTTTTGAATCTTTAATTCTGTGTACATTATCAGGATAATTTTATGTAGCTTCCTCCTTCGAAAAATTTCTTTCTGCATAGTGGAATAAAGAAAATTACTCTAGGAAAAAAGTTGCTAGTTCTGAGTGTGATGAATAAAGACCTCTCAAAACAAAAAATCAGAAGAATCAGTTTTTTATGAAAGAAGTTAAATAAAAAGTTTTGAATAATATATATTATTCCATACATAATGAATACAAAATGGAATAATGAGTAAGGGTGTTTTCAATTCATTTTCTCTTTATTGTATGAAGAAAACTTAGTCCTCTTGTTGCTACTTTAACACTAAACATTTTCATGATTAACTGATCATGAACTGAACAAATTTAAGTTAGACCACCTAAATGCAGGATTCACTGTTCACCTATATTTCCCTGCTTTCATTCTAATGGCCTTTCTTCACCAGGCCTCATGTAAATTTACTTCTATAGTTACTAGTATATGCTTTTCATAGTGCTGAGTCTAGCTAGCAGATATACTTTTCCTGTTTGTAAGATCAGATTGCTTCTAAAAGTATGTGGAAAAAATAAAACAGGACTTCCATTTTATATTCCTTTTATAAGTCTACCCAGGCCTTTGTAAAGGTGAAATTTGATAAATTCTGGAACTCCACTTATAAAATCATTGTCAAGTAATGTCACAATTTGATACTGAAAATATCAAGAAGTGTTCCTGGCTATCAAAAATAGCAGACTTGAGAAATTTGAGGACTGGTGGATTATCTTTGGTATTGCTCAGAGAAGAAACTGTTGGCAGGACAAATGAAGATGAGTATTTACTTTCTCTTGTAGTATGAGTGTTAATGCTGGGCTTATTGGTTTATTTTAATATATATTATGCATGTGACATAGTTCCTTTATGCTTTGTAGTCTTATACAAATTCTGCCTTTCATAAATATGTTTCAGAATGCTAAGCATTGTACAAAGCATAAATAATTAGAAATAAAAGAAAGATCTGGAGAGGTCATACAGTTTCAGTATTGTGCCACCTGAAAATTTGCCATTTCTTCAAAAAAGGTAATTTTGAATGCTGGAATTATGTGTCTCCAAAGTGCAGTCTTAAAGTCCCACACTAAATGGGAACATGGTTAGATCTAGTTAATAAGACACACAAACCACAAAGCTGTCTGAAACTTTGTATTTGCATTCCTAAATAAAAGGATTGCTGCCATGTCTCTCTTCTGACTTTTTGTTTCAATAAAAATTACTGCAGCTTTGTGTGCTTTCAAAATGCAAATATTTTCTTCGTGGACTGTTTATTTGGGCTTATATCTAAATTGTGCTTGGCAACACCTAAAGTTCCATATTTGGTTTTCATAATTGGTTCTGTTCTCTGGCTCAGGACACTGCTGGAACTTAACAGGCATAAAATGCTAAGAATAGTGGTAGCAAAAGTCTTCTGACACCATATTCAATTCCATTGCAAAGGGAAGCCCTGATACCATTGAGATCTGAAAGGATAAAGAGGATACTTAGATTAATTTTCTTTTAATTAAGAACCTAATAGTCTAATAAGATGTTATAATTTCAGGAGTCAAATATAAGGAATGGAAAGAGGAATATGGTGGGTACATGAGTAGAGTGACTGGCGTGAAAAGGGATGTGATTACAGTGCTTAGAAAGCAATGAAATCTTGCAAATTTGAACATGAAAATAACCACCTCTATATAGGAGTGCACTGTCAAATACTGCAATACAATAGTGCATTGGCAAGGAAGAAATTCTGTAGCCGTGTTAGAAATCCACATGCTCTTTCACCTTCATATCCAGCAGGTTCAGTGTTCATGGAGAATCTAGAGGCTCTTTTCGTATGATTCCAGCTTTCATTGTGACAAAACCTCTTCCAAAATATCATTTTAATACCACAGATATAAAAATAGTAAACCTCAGCCAGTAGATCACTCATTAGAGATAAAATCAGACCTTAGAACTAGACTGAGATGTGAGGAGAGAAAAATTGCTGTTAGGAAATCTAGATTATGTGCAAAATTTATCAGGTTAACTAATTTTGACTTAATGAACATTGCAGGGCTGCTAGATAAATTCAAGCACTTCTTATTTTTCCTTACTTTTTTTCCTCAACTGATCCACTAAGCCAAATATATTTGGTAATCTACATGTGAGTCTTCTTTCATATGAGATTTTCCATGAGGAATGTAGAATTATTTTTAATAATACAAAAAACCGTAGCTTTTCAGTTCTTATACAAAAAGGAAGAAACCTCAGCACTGCAGTACTTTTGGGCTTTACACTGATGAAAATTGCTCCAGATTAGTTTGCCCTCGTATTGCACTGTATTTTTTCCCAATAAACTAATCACCAGAATTCCCATTTGTTTCATAAACATTGCTTATGGTATTGCTCTCTATATGGTGTTTGATCAAGGATAAGTTAATGATAAAATGGAAATGCTGTTTCATGAAGGAAAGCAATTATTTTCCCATTCAGATTTTTAATACATGGAAAAGTAAACAAGCTAATTTTAAATACTTCTCTAAAATATCTTCTGTTTTATATGAGACAAAGATATTATATTAGTTGTTCTTTTGAGTACTGACAACTTTAAAAATTTGTAATTGCACAATAGAAATAACATCTCAATTAATTATTTCCTTAAATAGGTTTTAAAACAGATAAATAGTGTAGTTTGAACAGAAAAGTTAAATAGCAAACACACTCAATTGGATCCTATTATCATATATCAAAACTGAGTAACTTAAGTGCGGCCTTTGTATGCCATTGCAGTGGAATTGCATTCTGTAAGAGCTCTACAGTCACAGGAAGTTCACCAGCTAAGGGTAAGTCTCCAATAGTAATTTGATACAGAAATGTGGGCTAAAATAAGGAATTAGAATATTTAAAATTGCAAATATGATACTTAATTTGACAGTGGTTTTGGTATAATCAAGTGCAGAAATTAAAAATGACTGAGACATTTAGTACACTGTGCGTAAAAGTGTTATTTCTAAAGCTTTTGCATAAATCTGAGATAGAAATACATTCCAGAGATGGAGGATAAAGCAGTCAGAATAGTGATGATACCACTGTAGACGGATGCTGTCTGCGTGCATGTAGAGTAAGGTTGTGGAGATGGCTTAAGAAAAGCAGAAGTAGGTATTCAGAACAGGAGAAGGGGATTATGAGACCTCTGAGTTACAGCCCTTGGTTACTATTGGAATCATAATTATTCCTAGGCTAATAGGAGTCCCCTCCAACTGTTACTGTTGCTGATGTTTTTATTTAAAACATGGCAATTAAATTGAAAGTCTTGTTAAAAATAGAATATTTATTTCTATATTTTCAAATGTTTAATCTAGAAAACATTCCTCCAGTGTTGCATACTATGAAATCTGTGCAGATTCTTTTCTGATCTCATCTCTTTAGGTACTTAATAAAAATGTTGACTTCTGCATCAGTCAAGGATTGCACAAGAGAGTGTTTTCCAAACCTACTAAAATCGGGTGGAAATTACCACCACCTCAGTAGGTCACATGTCCTTTTATGGTCTCCCATGTCCTTTTATGTAATCATTCTCTAGAGAAAATGGTGAACAATTTCCTTTAGAAAGCTTTTAATAATGCCAATTGGTACATATTTTTGTATCTCTGTATTTAAAATAGCGTTACAATACTAAAATTTACTTTCTTGATTCAAGATTCTTGTTATTGTGATTTCAGTTTGATAGGCAACAAAGGCAGGATGTTGGAAACAGAAAATTTGCAGGTTTTAAGTTAATACTTCCTTGTTTAAAAGAACCAGATAAAGAGATACTGGTTTTCCAGTTCAGATACTGTGGTCTACTGAGAAGAAAACAAGACAGGTGTTACTGAAAATAGAAGGTGCAGCATTTAATTTTATCTAGAAAGAGTAATGCTGGCAGAAGGCTCCCAGAATAATCCTTGTTTTGGACTATTCTTCTCAAGTTCTTGTATTCCACCCCATCAGGGTCACCCAGAACAGGTGACTCAGGAACTCATCCACCTGGGTTTTGAATGTCTCTGGAGAGGGAGGCTATACAACCTCCCAGGGCAGCCTGTTCCTGTGCTCTGCCACCCTCAACACAAAGTTCTTCCTCGTGTTGAGGTGGAACTTCTTGTGTTTTAATTTATTGTTATTGCTCTTTTCCCACTCTCTGGACACCACTGAACAGTCTGGCATCATCCTCTTGGCACCCACTTTTGGGATATTTATATGTGTTATTGATCTTCCCTCTCAGCCTTCTCCTCTCTAGATGAAACAGGCCCAGCGCTCTCAGCCTGTTCTCACAAGATTCTTCAGTAGAGCTTGTGAAGTCACAAAAAGTTAATTTGCACACATCTATTTGTCACAAAATGCATTTGCATTCTGCAGTCTTCACAGAAAGTGAATTTTCTGCCTAAAAAAACACACTTCACTAGAAAGTGTTGTCTCAGAGTATCTGTTAGGCTTATAGTACACTAATACAGAAAAGACAGAATCCAAACCTGCTGCTGAGTCTTAGGTCAGCTCCACTGATGGTCAGTTTGTCATTTTACTGATTTGTCAGCACTTGGACGCTAACTCTTGCACCCATTTTCCTTGCCCACAAGTTCTGTCAGCTCCTGCTGGTAAAAAATGCAAGACTGATTTCTTGATTCCAGAGTCCCCCTTGGGTCCCATGGAGCAGCTGTGCTCTAAATAGCCTTTATGCTTCTCCTTCTGCACCTTGCCAAGCTGAAGTCAATCTGAAAAGAAAATTGAAGGGAAGGTTTAAAATAAAGTGGTCGTTGG